TTTTGTATGCCAGTTCTTGGTTATTTAGCAGGAAAACTGTCCAAAGTCCGCTTCGCTTATCCATTTCATTTCGCTAAAAGTCCCTTCGGTTGGTTTGAAAAACAATCCGTATTCTATTTCATGTTTGACGCATATTGGTGCTTTTGCTGCTCTCTCGTAGATGAGTGCATAACCAAAATATAATACAATCTAAGTTCTTGACTGTTTTGTACGCATTTCTGGCGTGCATTTAGCTCGGAAGCCACTAAATATATCCACAATGAACATTGATTAGGTCTTGAGCGTTAAAATTCCACCTAATGAAGAACGTGCAACCAACGATTATTTGGTAATGCGATTCGCACATAAATCTAGAAAGATTCGAACCCGCCACATCTTCTGAATAACCAGACTTTCTAGTTCTTCGTTCCTGGAACGAATGACCGTCATTTTGCGTGCTAAATAAGCTCAATACAAGAATTACAATACTGATGGTCAGTCGACGATAGCCAGTTCAAATTTGGTCCGCTAGTTATTCTTTAGAACGTTTGAAATTCTTCAAAAAAAAACAGTTTGGCGAAACAATTGTTTTTCAGTAATTCCTTCTCAAGCCGTTTACAGATTTCATAGGTAATATTAGAAAACAGATGACACAGTCAGACACATCACCAATCATGGGTAAGAGTTTGTCATAATCAACTGGCATTTGTCATTTGATTGGTTTAACTAAGTTACGGCATCAGGGTGACCGGACGGTGGACACACTCGGGACCGATCGATCACGGGCCGTGGAAGTTGGAGTGACTGAACCAAACCTTTTTTGGCGCAGAGGTCAGGGGTCAATTTTCTTATCCCGATTGCGTCGGCTATTGCTAGGGTGCGCAATTGAACACCCTTGCACTTGGTTTGGGGGGCACGATAAACAACTCTGAAGGCGACGTCCGGATTTACTTGATGTCCGGTGTCGACTAAATGGGCTAGGATGGAGCTGTTTATTGATCCGGTCTGTCCTAGTCTTAAAAAGCGTGGGTGATGCTCTTTGCTCCGGGTAGATAGCTGTCGTGCGCCACATACGCATCTGAAAGAGTATATAACCATTGATGAGGTCAGCATCGATAGTTTATCCTTGTTTTGAATGTGGATCATTGGAGCGCCACGAAACACGCACCGTAACTTAGCAGCGTTGAAGACGTTGCCAATCTCCCTGTTCAGTCATCGAGCGGTGGTAATGTCACCAAATTATCACCCCGGGGATGTGTGTTCGAATCCCACAACCACCGCCTGACTTTCCCCATTGTGTGGTGAATGAGAGACCTTTGATTGGCCGCTGCTCCCTTCCTGAAAATTGCGTCATTACATATTCAATAAAAGGAAGTAAAATAAAAAGATAGAAAAAGTAGGATTTCGCTCATGGTATCGCCTTTGAATGGCAAACTGATGAACAAATCTTTCTTTCTCACAGTTTGCATGGGAGTTTTCGGCATTTATTCAATCAGATTTCTTTCGATAAAACGATCCGGGTGTCCATTCTCACGCAAGGTGTTTCTAATGAGCATCAGCTCATCATCCGACACCTTAGAGCAAATTGCCCTCGCCCTGGTGGCCAAGCATTTGACCAAGTTTCGTTTCTGTTGGATGCTAACGAAACTATTGAAATTGGTGTACTGGCCAGTCCATGTCGGTTTTCGGTACACCTTTCGTACGATCCGACCATCTTCCATCCGGCTAAGAGATACATCCAAAAACGGTTGGTTGATTGTTCGTTTCACGTTCCATTGTGAAACGTGCTGCATTGTGCGCCTTATTAAATTCCAATAAGTCACAGCTAGTATCAGTCACACAAAATACGTCGTCCACATATCGATAATAATGTTCAAAACTATCGATTACCGACTTCAGTTTCGTTCTTTCCAGTTTTGCGAGGAAGACATCAGCAAGGAGTGGACCTAGTGGTGATCCAATGGCCACGCCATCTCGTTGTCTGTATAGGGTTTGGTTGAATAGGAACTGGACATTTAGTGTACAACGGAGCAAGAGTTCGAGCAGACCGTGTGGTGGTAAGCCAACATTAAGGTTGTTTTCGTCAATGTAATTCACTAAGAAATCGATGATCTCTACTA